GTGATAGCCGGGCGGACCTTTGTGTTTGACCTTATCCTCCTGGAGATGACTAGCTTTGATGTCATTCTTGGGATGGATTGGTTGGCCTTCTTTCATGCCACGATCGATTGTTTCAAAGGGAGAATTACAATTTGCACTCCTGAGGGAGACTGTTTCTTTTTCGTGGGAGATCGGAGTGATTCCCACATTTCATCGTTTTATGGAGTTCGTGTGGACGAAGTCATGATGATTATTTCTTAGCTAGCCTTTTAGCTGAAGAAGATGATGTCGTGGGAGAAGTTTATCCGGCGATTGTTTGTGACTTCTTGGATGTTTTTCCAGAGGATTTGACAGAGTTGCCTCCACACCGAGAAGTGGAGTTCACTATTGATTTGATGCATGGTACTGCACCGATTTCTATGGCACCGTATCGTATGGCACCAGTTGAATTGGAAGAATTGAAGAGGCAGCTTGATGATTTGAGGATGAAAGGTTTCATCCGACCGAGTGTGTCACCGTGGGGCGCACCGGTCTTGTTTGCTAAGAAGAAAGATGGTTCGTTGAGGTTTTGCATTGATTATCGGAAGTTGAATCATGCCACCATCAAGAACAAGTATCCTTTGCCAAGGATAGATGATTTATTTGATCAGTTGAGGGGAGCCAGTTGCTTCTCGAAGATTGACTTGAGGTCTGGCTATTATCAGTTGCGGGTTAGGGATGATGATATCCCGAAGACAGCATTCCGTACACGGTATGCACACTATGAGTTCCTTGTTATGCCTTTTGGCTTGACTAATGCGCTAGCGGCATTCATGGACTTGATAAACCGCGTCTTTCACGATTACTTGGACCAGTTTGTGGTAGTTTTCGTGGATGACATTCTTGTGTACTCACGGACTCGGGAAGATCACGAGGTCCATTTGAGTATTGTTTTACAGATTTTGCGGGAACACGGATTGTATGCCAAATACGAGAAATGTGAGTTTTGGCTACAGGAGGTGAAGTTTTTGGGGCATGTTGTTTCAGAAGGTGGAGTATTAGTTGATCCATCAAAGGTTGAAGCAGTTTTGACTTAGGAGCGACCCAAGAATGTGTTTGAGATCCGCAGTTTTCTTGGTTTAGCGGGTTACTATCGGAGATTTGTGAAGGATTTCTCCCGTTTGGCAGCTCCTATGACCCGTTTGACCCGGAAAGGGGTCAAGTTTGTCTGGAATGAGGCCTGTGATTCATCTTTTCAGGAGTTGAAGACGAGATTGACTACAACTCCAGTGTTGGTGATAACTGAGCGAGGCTTGGGTTATGTGATCTATTGTGATGCTTCACGTGACGGGTTGGGATGTGTGTTGATGCAGGATGGTAGAGTAGTGGCTTATGGGTCTTGACAGTTGAAGACTCATGAGCTTAACTACCCTACTCATGATCTGGAGTTAGCGGCAGTTGTGTTTGCCTTGAAGTGTTGGAGACATTATTTGTATGGTGAGAGATTCGAGGTATACTCGGATCATAAAAGTCTCAAGTACCTTTTTTCCCAAAAGGACTTGAACAACAGACAGAGACGATGGGTTGAGTACTTGGAAGATTACAACTTTGATTTGCAGTATCATCCGGGCAAGGCAAATGTTGTAGCTGATGCCTTAAGCCAAAAATCTCGTGGAACTTTGGCCAGTTTAGCTATTCAGAAGTGGAAGATGCTTAAAGATCTGGCAGAGATAGGATTACAGTGTTTTGATGATGATGGTTACAGTGAGTTGGCATTCTTATTTAGTCTTGTGGCTTAGCCTACTCTTGTTGTACGAGTGATTGAGTCACAGAGACAGGACCCGGACTTAGATGCCATCCACGCTTTGATCTCTAGTGGTGAGACAGTGAAAGATTGGGCCTTGCATGCAGACGGGGGTCTACGGTTCAGGGGTTGGTTTGTTGGTGGTTCCCACAGTATGTCGTGAGGATGTCCTACGGGAGTTTCACACTTCCCGTTTTGCAGTTCATCCAGGTGGTACTAAAATGTATCACAATTTGAGACGTCAGTATTGGTGAAGCGGGATGAAGAATGATGTTGCACAGTTTGTGGCTAGATGCCTTACCTGTCAGCAGGTGAAGGCCGAGCATCAGAGGCCAGCAGGTTTGTTGCAACCATTACCCAATGGAAATGGGAGCATATTGCTATGGATTTTGTGACAGGTTTTCCAAGGTCAAGGAGGGGCAATGAGGCCGTATGGGCCATCATTGACAGATTGACCAAGACGGCTCACTTTTTGCCTATTAAGGCAACAGATGATGCAGAGAAGCTTGGTGTTCTTTATGTGAAGGAGATTGTAAGGTTGCATGGAGTTCCAGTAACCATTGTTTCAGATAGGGATGCTAAGTTCACTTCAAAGTTCTGGGAAGGACTTCAAGCAGCGTTTGGTTCAACGTTGCATCTTAGTACGACATTCCATCCACAGACAGACGGTCAGTCGGAGCGTACTATCCAAATTTTGGAGGATATGCTTCGGGCATGTGTGCTTGATTTGGGAGGTAGTTGGGAGGATCACCTTCCACTTATTGAGTTTGCCTACAACAACAGTTATCAGGCGAGCATCCAAATGGCTCCATTTGAGGCGTTGTATGGTAGAACTTGTAGGTCTCCTGTTTGTTGGACTGAGGTAGGTGAGACAGCCGCCTTAGGACCAGACATTGTACTCGAGACTACTGAGAAGATTAAGTTGATAAGACAGAGGTTACTTACAGCTCAGAGCCGACAGAAGAGCTATGCGGATAAGCGGAGACGACCGTTATCCTTTGAGGTGGGAGACCACGTTTTTCTACGGAAGGGATTGATGAGATTCGGGAAAAGTGGCAAGTTGTCGCCACGATTTATTGGACCGTTTGAGATTTTGGACCGAGTAGGAGAGGTTGCCTACAGGCTTGCTTTGCCACCACAGTTGGATAGGGTCCACAATATTTTCCATGTATCGATGTTACGGAAGCACGAACCGGATCCATCTCACATTTTGAGTTGGGTAGATGTGGATATTGATGAGGATGTTTCCTACGAGGAAGGACCAGATCAGATCCTTGACACTCAGCAGAGGGTGTTGAGGAACAAGACGATACCAATGGTGAAAGTCCTTTTGAGACACCACGGAGTCGAGGAAGCTACTTGGGAGCTTGAACAGGAGGTTCGCTCCAAGTATCCAGAGTTGTTTTCTTCCTCAGGTATGTCTTGATTTCGGGGACGAAATCTTTTAAAGTATGGGAGAGTGTAATGTTTGTGCCTTTATATATATATGCCTGTGTGTGCGGTGTGTATTAAAAGAAAAAAAAAAAAAAAAAGAGAAAAAGAAATTAGAAAAAGAGAGGTGGGACCCATGTCCCTTTTAAATGAATTAAGAGACCAAGTTAGTCTATGTTCTTTTTCTCTCTCTTTCTCCCGACTGCTGCTATCGGCTCCTTCTCTTTTCCTTTTTTCTTTTTTTTTTTTCACTTCAAGCTTTAACCCTTGATTACTCTCTCAATCCTTGCTGGATTTAGGTGCCGTTTGAGGCAAAACGACGAATGTGACGAGCTCTACGTTCTAGTACCAGCAATTCCAGTTTTGCTACCTTCCTTGGAGTAAGAATTTGAGGACCCATTTTCTAGGGTTTTGGTGCAATCATGAGGTAGGGGCATCTTAATCCACTCTCTTCTTGTTCCATTGTGAGTTATGCTCTTTTGTTGTGCTAGACATGCTAAATTTGAGAATTAATTGCTTCAATGAGGTGTAAGTGATGTTTAGAAAAAATTCATGTCTTAGGGTTATGACTTGTCTATGTGAAAAGCATGTATAGATGATGGCTTTATGGTGTTTTTTGTGAATTACACCTCTTTTATGTGCTAACATGCCTTACTTGGGGATTAATTGTGTTAATGATTATTTTAATGTTGTCTAGAGAAATGTATGTTTATGCACATGTGATGTATTATGTGAAAAGCTTGCCTATGTGTTGAGTTTATGTCCACCATGTGTAAACTTGCTGAAAGTGATGTATGAGACCATACTTAATTGTATTGTGCCAAAATTTCACATTGTCATGATATTGAGATTATATCTACATTCTTGGACATGTCATTGGGATGCATGAAATGGGAGAATTTGTCTTGAAATGAAAATGAGGAATTTTTGGGAGATGATAGTTTTTTTGAAATGGTTTTGATAAACCCGGTCGCTGTGGGGTTACCAACGGGCCGGAGGTTAATATAGCCTAGAGGGGACTAGGGAGTCGCCCTAGTGTGGTTGAGCTAGCTGGGCCCCATAATGACGCCGCGGGGTTACCAAGGGTCAGGGACACTAGCCAATCCTCCTCTCGTGTTGCGGCGGGGTTACCAAAGGGCGAGCTGTATTAACGTTTGAAAGTGATGGTTTTGAGAATGAAAATGGGGAGTGTCATTGACATGCATTGCATTTCATTTCATTGCATTGCATTCTTTATACTTGGAATTGACTTGTATGTTGTATTTGATCCCCTACGTTGTATGATCCCTATCTCCCATTGGCCTATGCTTTGCTTGAATTCACAAGGACACAAGATTTGTGTCTTAAGTGTCACCTACTGAGCATATAGCTCACCCTACTATTTATACATTTTTTTTCAGGTCTTGGAAAAGAACCGGTGGACGACAACCCACCTCAAGCTTGAGCGATACTAGAAGCTCACTTTTGTGTCTTTTGTATATCTCCCATTATTTTTGCAAAGCACTAAAGTGTGAAGGTGTATATGTATATTTTGTAAAAACTTTGTCATGTAATGTAATTAAGGTATTTGATGATATTTTGGATGTGAATTTGATAACATGTAAACCTTATTGATAAATGGGGAGAGTAATACTAGTTTGAAGTATTATTGAGGTCATTTGATTGTGTATCATCATCTACTATTGCCGTGAATTCGGAATTTGAGCCATGACATGTTAAAAATGCAATTAAACAGGTTGTGATAGACCTATTTTTAGGGGAGGTTATGCCGAATTTTTTATAAAATTCTTGGCATCAGCTAGGGTCGTTACATTGCCCCTCCAGCTAAAAGGAACAAATAACCAAAAGTGGATCTTCTACTATCCACACATCCAGCAAAATCTGAGTCTGAGTAACCAATAACCTCTAACTCACCAGTCTTTCTAAATGTGAGCATATAATGCTTTGTTCCTTGTAAGTATCTCATAACTTTCTTTGTAGCTTTCCAGTGATGCATTCCTGGATTGCTTTGGTATCTGCCTAACATTCCAATATCTGAACGAGTGCAAACCTGTGCATATATCAAACTTCCTACAATAGATGCATAAGGAATATTTTGCATTTCTTTTCGTTCTAATTCATTCTTTGGGCATTACATCAAACTAAATTTATCCCCTTTATGTATTGGAACAATACTAGCTGAACAATGTTCCATACCAAATCTCTCTAGAATTCTCTCAATATATGTTTTCTGAGACAATCCTAACAATCCACGTGACCTATTACGGAATATTTCTATTCCTATCACGTAGGATGCCTCATCCATATCTTTTATCTCAAAATTCTTAGAGAGATAATTTTTAGTTTCATGCAATAAACCAAGATCACTACTAGCAAGCAAAATATCATCAACATATAGAATCAGAAATATAAACTTGCTCCCACTAACCTTCTGGTATATACACCGATCAACAGTATTTTCATTAAAACCAAAAGAAGTAATAATATCATTAAACTTAATATACCATTGTCGGGAAGCTTGTTTAAGTCCATATATTGACTTCTTAAGTTTACAGACCATGCGTTCTTTACCCACTAATCTGAAGCCTTCAGGTTGATCCATATATACTTCTTCCTCTAAATTCCCATTTAGAAAAGCTGTTTTCACATCCATTTGATGTAACTCTAAATCATAATGAGCTACAAGCGCCATGATAATTCTAAAGGAATCCTTCTTAGATACAGAAGAGAAGGTTTCTTTATAATCAATGCCTCCTATCTAAGTGAAGCCCTTGGCTGCAAGTCTGGCTTTATATCGTTCAATATTGCCATTAGAGTCGCGTTTGGTCTTAAAGACCCATTTACACCCGACTTGTTTAAATCCTTCAGGCAATTCAACGAGTTCCCAAACTTTATTTTGTTCCATTGACTTCAACTCCTCGTTCATGGCATTAATCCAATTAGTAGAATTATTACTATTAATAGCTTGTGAATATGTAACCCGATCCTTACATATCCCTATATCAAAATCAGATTCATGTAGATATACCACATAATCATCCGCAATAGCAGGTCTCGTTTCTTTTTGAGACCGTCTTAATGTTATTCCTTGTGGTTCTTCAATAACTTCATTGGTGATAGTTTCATTATGGAGTTGTTGATCATTTAATTGTTCTTCGTTGTTATGCAGTTCAACAACTGGAGAAACAATTATTTCTTTAGAAGTTGTGGGTAAAGGGATTTGTACCCTAACTTCTTGAATGATCACATTCTCATTTTTATCACTCCCATTGATTTCACCATCCTCAATGAATCTGGCATTACCGGTTTCAACAATTCTTGTACTATGTGTAGGACAGTAAAACCTATACCCTTTGGATTTTTCTGGGTAACCAATAAAATACCCACTAACTGTTCTAAAATCTAATTTCTTTTCATGTGGATTATAAATCCTAACTTCCGCTGGGTAACTCCAAACATGCAGGTGCCTTAAACTAGGTTTCCTTCCTGTCCACAGTTCGAATGGAGTTTTTGAAACTGCCTTACTAGGAACCCTGTTTAATATATACATAGCAGTTCTAAGAGCATACATCCACAATGATATGGGTAATGAGGAATTACTTAACATACTCCTAACCATTTCCATAAGAGTACGATTACGCCTTTCAGATACACCATTCTGCTGTGGCGTACCTGGCATAGTGTATTGAGCACAAATGCCACGCTTTTCAAGGAATTTAGCAAACGGTCCAGGGCATTGACCCGTTTCATCATACTTTCTATAATATTCACCACTTCTATCTGATCTTACTATTTTCACACTTTTATCTAGTTGTCTTTCAACCTCATTTATGTATACTTCAAGAGTATTCACTGCTTGAGATTTTTCATGCAACAAATAGATATATCCATAACGTGAAAAATCATCTATAAAGGTGATAAAATATTTTTCTCCACCAAAAGATGGAACATCAAAAGGTCCACAAATGTCTGTATGAATAATTTCAAGAAGCTCTATACTTCTTGTGGCGCCCTTCTTTGTGTGTTTGGTTTGTTTACCTTTAATACAATCTACACACACAATAAAATCAGTAAAATCTAGATTTCAAAGAATTCCATCTTTTACTAATCTTTTTAACCTTTCACTGGATATATGACCCAATCTTTTATGCCACAAGAAAGATGAATTTTCATTAATTGAGCTACGTTTGGTTCCAACATTATGATGCAAGGTCAAAAGTGTTTCAGAAAATAAATCATCAAGCTTTATCTTGTATAAACCATCAACAAGAATACCAGAACCAACAAATTGGGATTTTTTGAACAAACTAAAACATCCATTACCAAATTTAAATGAAAAACCATCAACATCAAGTTTGGACAAATAAATCAAATTACGGGAAATTGAAGGAACATAAAGAGTTTTAAACAAATCTAAATGAAATCCACTATCTAAAACTAAACGAAATGTCCCAATGGCTTCAACTGGAATTTTCTCCCTATTCCCTATGAACAAGAAATCATCATTTGGATTTGTGGTTTGGGTTGAAAGGAATCCCTGCATCGTATTGGAAATATGAACATTAGAGCCTGAATCAACCCACCAAGTATTAGAAGGAACTTCAATTAAGTTTGATTCAAAACATACAAAAGCCAAAGGTTTACCTTCTTTTCGAACCATTCTTTACGTTTCATGCAATCTTTCTGAAAGTGTCTAGGTTTGTTATAAAAATGACACTTATCATTCTTGCGTTCCTTCTTTTGAGTAGCTTGATCAGAATCCTTTATTTAGGGTTTTGCTCGCTTAATGCCTTTTCCAGGCCTTTTCCCAAATTTCTTTCTAGCTTCTTGAGTCATGAGATGAACATTATGATTATCTTGTTGCTTAAGCTTTCCTTCCTCCTGAACTAACATACTGGCCAATTCATTTACATTCCACTTATCCTTAATAGTGTTATAGTGAATTTGAAATGGCCCATACTGAGTAGGTAAGGAATTAAGAATAAATTGAACGAGAAAAGTCTCATCCACATTCATCCCTAAAGTTTTCAATTTCACAACAAGATTAGTCATGTCAAGAACATGCTCATGCATACTACGAGTACCATCAAAACGCATAGTAGTGAGGTCAGCCCTTAATTTCCCTGCAAGAGACTTATCTGCAGTACGGAAACGTTCTTCAATATTTTTCAAATATTCCTTAGCACTATCAGTTTGGGGAAGAGTTGTTTTGATATTATTTGCAATAGTCATTCGCATAAACATAATACTCAATCTGTTCGATTTCTCCCAAACTTAATGGAGAGACTTTTCTTCCTCACTGCTTTCACCAGTAATAGCAGTAGGTTTCTCAATTTGAAATGCTAAATCAAGATCTAGCACACCTAAGTTGAACTGAACTTGCTTATACCATTATGAGAAGTTAGTCCCATTGAGAATTGGAACAGATGAAGCATGCGAATTCACTGAAACAGGAAGAGATACTGCAATAAAATAATCATAATAAGGTAAATGCTCATAACATTAATACTTTGAGATAACAACACATATAAAAATAAATAAATAAATACATTGTATAACTATGGTACCCCTTTGGGTAGTAACCACAAAATACAAAAAAATATGATGCTTAGATGTATTTATTTATATATAGCTTCATTGGTGATGCACTAATTAATTAAATAGACAAGTTACCTTTGGATATCCTATATCTACCCAATTAAAAATTACATACAACCCCTTATTGTTTATTTACTCACTTGAAAATTAATTCCCTTTGAGGAACTATTTCTAATAATTGAATAAACCCAATATTCATGAATTTTACAAAAAATTATAAGCATCATTATTCATGAAATATTGCATTATGTCTATCACTAAAATTAATATCCATTAATCATTATGGTTAGGCCACTTTGGTAGCTACCAACCTTTCTATAATATGAATATTAAATTATTTAGTGATAAATTCAACATTAAATTACCCACCATATTATGCACTCATAATTTACAAAATCAATTAATTAAATTACTAGTGGGTGTCTTAAATTTAATAGATTTAATACTGTAACATATATTAATAAGTATATATTTATTCATGTACAAAACAACATCATTACAATTCATAGCCTCAATTTGCGCAGCGGAATAATTATCAAAATTTTCATTCTGTAAATTGATTTGACGCCATAGGTAATCAAAACTTTCATTCTGATTTGTCCCATTATATATATAACTTTCAACTATAAATTTGGAGACACACAATTAATGAAGTCAACTAATAAATTCAAATCTCGCAAATCTAAATTATGTTGACTTTGATGATTACTGTCATGAAACCAAAAACATGATAATTGTATATTATATATATATATATATATATAACATAATGAGACAAAACAATATATATACAACATAATGAGACAAAATTGATCACAGACAAACAGATCAGTATATATGATTGTAACTTTCATCTTTAAATTCGGAAATCAAGGCAACTTAACTAAACATTATATATACAAATAGATCCGCAAATTTAAATAAGGAAAAACGCTACGGGATTCAATTAGATCGGATCGAAGTGTCCGAATATATATAATGTTAATTTAAACTTACACATATTATTTATGCAAGAATAATGGAAAATAATTAGTTCCAAAACTACGGGCTCTGATACTACATGTAAAAACTCTAATTAAATTTGTGTTAGATTTTAATCACAAATTATCATAAAACCCTAGATCTTAGAACTTTAATTAATTTCACATTCTTATAACGCATAAATAAATATAGTTAGATATACATACCTCTATTCATGATATCAAACCTTGTTGAGATTAAATCCAACGTCCAGATCTTTTAACCACGAACCAATCTGCAACTCTGATCAACAGGTAAAGGCGAAAACTGGTTTCTTTCTCTTGGCCTTTTGCACACAATAACCTTTTACGTGTTGTCTCAATAATCGTACATAATTGATGGAGTATATGCACTTTTATAAAGGCAGAGAGAGGACCAGTTTTCCTTTTAGAAACATAATTCTACTTTCCATCAAAGTAAGGAATTAGAAGGAAAACACTTCTCCAATAAGTAATTACCAAAAAAGGTAATTATAAGTTGACCAAGAATAATTAATTGATATCTATTTACTTAGCCACCAAGTAATATGTCATATGTCCAAATCATGTGGGCCACAATTAAATAAATAATCTTACAAAGAATACTGCTATGAATGAATTTATGAATTTCTTTTAACATCAAATAAGTTGAAGTACTAATATAGTATATTAGAAATTTAAAATGTCCATATTATGAAGATGACTGGCTGAGTTTATATATATATATATATATATATCTCGTTTAATGAGAAATCATGACACCATGTCTAACTACAAATATTTTAAATTTTCATACATAATATATTAGGGTCAAGATCACAGTTTTTACCATGCAAAATTTACTTAGAAAACGTATTAGTTTTAAATAGGAAACATTTGTTAATTCTGAATAAGAGACTCAGTGGTTATGTCTATCATTCATCCTACATGAAATGTCTTTTAGCAGAAGTCATATATTGAAATGAAAATTGAATATATAATATGATTATTTTAAATTTTATTATGGATGGATGAAAAAGAGTGAAAAGTAAAAAAGTTTCTACTCATACTCTATTACTCTGTCTCTTTGAACAAACGATCAAGAAATTTTTAAATA